TTTAGGTGAAGGTTAGGTGGTTTACCTGAGCTTTTTATTGTTTCCTGAGGTGGGCTTGTGTTGCTGTGAGCTTCCCTCTGAGAACTGCTTTTGCTGCATCCCGGAGGTCTTGGATCATTGTGTTTTGTTTTCATTTGTCTCAAGGTATTTTTGAGTTCCTCTTTGATTTCTTCCCTGGTCCACTGGTTGTTTGGTAGCATATTGTTTAGCCTTCACGTGTTTGCAATTTGGGCAGTTTTTCTTTCTTGTAATTGATTTCTAACCTCGTAGCATTGTGGTTAGAAAATATGCTTGGTGTGATTTCAGTTTTGTTAGATTTGCTGAGGCTGGCTTTGTGGACCAGCATGTGGTCAATTCTGAAGAATGTTCTGTGTACACTTGAAGAGAAGGTGTATTCTGCTTTCAGATAGAATGCTGTATACATTATCAGTTAAGTCCATCTGGCCTAATTGTCATTTATTGCCTGTATTTCCTTACTGATTTTCTGCCTGGCTGATCTGTCTGTTGATGTGTGTAGGGTGTTAAGGTCCCGCACTATCACTGCATTACTGCCCGTTTCTCCTTTTATGTCTGTTAACAATTGCCGTGTATACTGAGGTGCTCCTGTGTTGGGTGCATATATATTTACAGTTGTCACATCTTCTTGGATTGACCCCTTAAGCATTGTGTAGTGTCCTTCTTTGTCTCCTGTAACAGTCTTTACTCTCAGGTTTATTTTGTGTAATGTAAGTATTGCTACTCCAGCTTTCCTTTGGTTTCTGATTGCATGGAGTATCTTCTTCCATCCTCTCCCTTCCAGCCTGCATGTGTCTCGAGCTCTGAGGTGGGTCTCTTGTGGACAGCGTATATATGGGTCTTGTGTTTGTGTCCATTCAGCCAGTCTGTGTCTTTTGGTTGGAGCATTTAATCTGTTTACATTTAAGTTTATTATCCACACGTGTGTTCTTATTGCCATTTTGTTCATTGTTTTGGGTTTGTTTTTCTGGGTCTTTTTTTTTTTTCTCTGTCTTCTTTTTGTTCTCTTTTCTTGTGGTCTGATGACTGTAGAGCTACACTGATTTGCAGTTACCATGAGGTTTTGGTATAGGAGTGTATGTAGACATGATTGTTTTAATTGCTGATGTTCTCATTTCAAATGCATTTAGATGTCCTGCGTTTGTACCTTCCTCCCGTCATGATTATTTTTCTCATTTCCAGTTGTGGCCTTTTCTTTTTTAACCTGGAGAAGTTCCTTTAACATTTGTTGTAAAGCTGGTTTGGTGGGGCTGAATTCTTTCAGCTTTTGTTTATCTGTGAAGCTTTTGATTTCTCCATCAAATCTGAACGAGAGCCTTGCTGGATAGAGTATTCTTGGCTGTAAGTTTTTCTCTTTCATCACTTTAAATATATCGTGCCGCTCCCTTCTGGCCTGTAGAGTTTCCACTGAAAAACCAGCTAGTAATCTCATGGGAGGTCCCTTGTATGTTGTTTTTTGCTTTTTTTTTTTTTTTTTTTTGCTGATTTTAGCATTTTCCCCATATCCCTGATTGCTGTCAGTTTTATGACTGTGTGCCTTGGTGTCTCTGGGCTGATCCTGTGTGGCGCTCTCTGCGCTTCCAGGACTTGGGTGACCTTTCGCAAGTTGGTCATGTTTTGCTCCAAAATTTTTCTCAGGCCCTTTCTCTCTCTCTCCTCTTTCTGGGACCCCTAAATGAGAATATTAGTGCACTTCATGTTGTCCCAGGGTTCTCTCAAACTATCGTCATTCTTTTCATTCTTTTTCCCTTTTTCTGTTCTGCAATAGTAATTTCCACTAATCTGTCTTCTAGTTCACTGATCTGTTCTTCTGCCTCATTTAATCTGTTGTTGGCTCCTTCTATAACGTTATTCATTTCAGTGATTTTATTCTTCAGTTCTGAGTATTCTTTATATTTTCCAACTCCTTGCTAAAAACTTGACTCTGTGCATCTATACTCCTCTTGAGTTCTGTGAACATCTTTGCCATCATTCGTGTAAACTCATTCTCAGATAAATTGCCTGTCTCCTCATCGCTTATTTCTTTTTCTGGGATTTTCTTTTGTACCTTGGCCTGAGAGATATTCCTCTGCTGCCTCATATTGTCTATCTTTCTATTTGTATTTTTAGGTAGGTTAGTTACATTTCTTGAGCTTGGAGAGGTGGCCCTCTGTGGGAGATGGCCTGTGCGTCTCAGCAGTGCACTCCTCTCTTGTCACCCACGGGCCAGGGTCCAGCTGGTCCCAGTGTAGAGTCTGGCCTGTGTTTGTGGCTTTGGGATTATTGTTTTCTTATTTCTAGTATCTCCCCCTAGTGGGGTGAGGCTGGACTAGGGTTCCTGGCAGGAGGAGCCGGGGCCTGCTCACTGCTGGGTGGAGCTTGGTCCTGGACCTCTGGTGGGCAGGGCCGCGTCTAGTGGCCTTTGTGGCTCAGGAGGTCTGCTGACGGGTGGGGCTGTGCTCCCACCCAGTACATTTGGCCTGAGGCTTCCCTACAGGCTGTTGGGTGGGGCTGGGTCTTGGTGCCAATGATCCAATCATGATGTCAGCCTCCAGGAAAGCTCATGGAGATGAACACTCCCAGAATGCCCGCCACCAGCTTCTGTGTCCCCTTAAGTGAGCTGCAGCTGTCCCCCACGTCCCCAGGAGACCCTCCAGATCCAGCAGGCAGGCCTGGCCCAGGTTCCTACGAAACCACTGCCTCTGCCCTTGGACCTGGTGCCCACTAGACTCCGTGTGAGCTTCCCAAGGGGATGAAGCCTCTGTTCCCCCCAATCCCTGGGGCTCCCGGAGCTAAGCCCCCTGGCCTTCACAACCAGACGTCCTGGGGGCTCCTCCTCCTCCCAGTGCCAGAGTCCGGGCTGGGGAGCTGACGTGGGGCTCAGAGCGCTCACGCCTGTGGGAGGGCCTCTACACTCAACTGGTTTCAGCTTGTGGGTCTCCCACCCCCAGGGATATGGGGCCCGGTTACATTGTGAACGCGCCTCGCCTACCGTCCTGCTGTGGCTCCCTCTTTGTCTTTCCATTGCAGAAGACCTTTTTTGCTAGGCTCCAGCCTTTTTTCACTTGTGGTTTGTTGTAGTCATGAGGAGGGGCAAGCTCGTGGTCCTGCCACCCAGCCTTGATGACCTGAGATCCCAGTGTTTACTGTTCTTTTAGATTTTACTTTTTTTAAAACATTTTTTACTGATTTGTAATGATTTTACAATGCTGTGTCAAACTCCAGTGTAGAGCATAATTTTTCAGTTATACGTGAACATACATTCGTCGTCACATTCCTTTCTCTGTGAGCTACCGTAAGATCTTGTATATATTTCCCTGGGTTATACAGTATAATCTTGTTTATCTGTTCTGCATTTTGAAATCCCAGTCTATCCCTTCCCACTCCATTAGATTTAACCTTTTTAACACACTCAGAAGCATAGGTTTTTCAACAGCATCTTGGGATGTAGGTCCTCACACGTGACAGGTCAGTGGCACTGGCCAAGGAGTAGGTGAGCACGGCACTTCCCTGTAGGCGGCCCGGGAGCACAGGCTGAAGGGTGCCTGGGTGTGTGCGTGTCTGCGTGTGTGTGCACGCACATGTGCCTGTGGGTATGTGTGTGTGGGTGCCTTGTGTGCATGTGTACACGTGTTGCATGCATGTGTGTGCGTGTGTACACTAGCTGTGGTCTGTTGTGCTGAGGAGACCCGAATGCCCTTTTACTGACGAGTACGATGTGAGCAAACCAGTGTTTCCCAGATTGTCTTCACCAGCCCCCAGTGGCGTCACGCTTCAGGGTCGTCAGGCGAGCTGTGAAGTGGTAGCCTCCGTGTCTGAGGAGCAGGGGCTTTGGCTCTGCCCTGGGTGCGTAGCTAGTGGCCGTAAGCCTCCGTCTCTGGTGAGGAAGCAGGGTGGCGGTGGTGGGTTCGGTAGGACTTCGTGGTGACAGTCGGCCCAGGGGCCCGGCGCGTCGTGGGCTCTGTGACGCGTGCTCGGCCTGGTTTGCCCGTGGCCTGAGCCAGCACTGTGACAGTTCCTCGTGGGAGAACAGGAGCCCAGTGAGTGAACCAAGCTAGTTCCCAGGCCGCTCAGGCCGGGACAGCCGAGTGCCCCTCGCTGTGGAGCCAAAGCCTCCGCCCCCTCCTTCGCGGTCCCTGTGACTTGCTGGGTGGCAGTGGACCCCTGTCCCCACTGTGCAGGCCGGCGAGGGCCTGTCTGACCTGGAGCCTCAGGAGAGGGCTGGAGGGCGGGCCTGTGGCCTGAAGTGTGTGTCGTGACGTGCGGGCTTGTTTGCTCTTCCGTGTCACTCGGGGAGGGCACTGTCATTCGACAAGAACTTCCCAGCAGTGACTTAGGGTTCAGCAGAAGCACAAATGTGTGTGACTTGACAGAACTGAGGGCCTCAGGGTGAGGTGGTGCCCCTCCCTTAAGGTACTGAAGACGGCCCCTCGAAGACTCACTCCGAACTTAGCAGCGTGTCAACTGTAAGATCCTAACAGCCTGAGAGCAGCACACCAGGGTGGGAGATCGTGTGTGTGGCGGAGAAGACGGCCATCCTGAGCGGCGTGGAGCGGGAGTGGGTGTTGGGGAGGGCTTCCAGAGAGGAGAGGGGTGTGCCGAGGGCCAGGAGCGCAGTCAGCCACAGAGTGCACCCTCTGGAGGGATGCGCACCCTCCAGACGAAAGGAGGGAATGTGGTGGTTTGGAATCCTCCGCGCCTGTTGGGGGGCTCCTGAAGAAGAGCCCGGGCCCTTCAGGTCTCGTGTCCTCCCCCCCCCGCCCTGGTTCCTTCAGCACCCGGAGGTCCCCAGAGGCAGCAGCCATTGTGGTTGGTGCAGGTAGAGGCGCCCACTGCTGAGCTGAGGTCCCGAGGGCCCTGGGCTGCGGCGTGCACTGGGCACAGGTGGGTCCTGCCCGCGCCCCAGCGTGGACATGCCGTCGCAGACCTGTCCTACCTGTGGGTGCGGGGCTTCCTGCTCGCATTACCTGCTGACTTGGGAACACCTTTCCTTCTCTCTCCTGCAGGCTGGAGACCCTCTAGGGGACGGTGGCTCCGCCCTCGACTTCATGGCCGTGAAGTCGTATCCGGACGTCTCTCTGGACATCTCCGTGCTCGGCTGTCTGGGTAGGTTGTGCCAGGTGCTCTGTGCGGCCCCTGTGCTGCCTTTCTGCACAGCCGGGGGTGGGGTTGCTGCCCGACCCTGCTCCTGGCCCCCTGTCCTCAGGACCACCCTCCCCGGTGGCTCCGGGGGACCTCAGGTCCCGTCCTCAGGGCTCATCCACTGGTCAGCGGATCGTGCGTAGGCACGGTTGTGTGTGGTCACTGGCCAACCCCCTTGGGGGAGGTGCCTCTATGCTCCCCGTAGTCCCCCTCGCCTACCGCTGGCACAGCCACCCCGCTCCTGGGGACCAGGGGTTTTCGTGCTGCAGCCTCCTCCCCCCAGGCCTGCTGGACACGCCGTGTGCTGCCGTAGTGGTCTCCCCGACAGCCTGTCTGGAGACATCTTTGGGGTCACATGGGATCTGGAGATTCTGGCGTCAGCTGGGGAGAAGCCGGAGATGTTGCTGAACACTCTCAGGCCCCAGGGCAGCCCCGGAGGTCACCGAGGCCGGGGTTGGAGGACCGCCCTCGGTCAGCAGGGCGTCCGGGAGACCGTTTCAGAAGGCACAGGCCATGTCCTGCCACCACCCAGCCTGACAGCCTCCGCCTGTGGGTGGGAGTGTTTGGACCTTCCGTGCTCAGTGCAGCTGTTGGCCCAGTGGGGTTCCAGTCACCACCTGCCGTCTCCTGTTATTTTCCTAGCTGACCAGGGAGCACCCCAGCTTTGGTGACTCCCCGGGACTCGGCACGTAGTCACGGCCACGGCTACAATAGCGAAGAACACAGGCTGCGGGGTGGGTTGGCGGGAGTCCGCGGGTGCGCCCTCTGCCTGGCCTGCCCTGAGCCCAGACGTGGGGGGTGCCAGCGGGTGACCGGCGCAGCGCACATGGGCGGCACGGCGGTTGGGCACAGCCCGTCCCTCAGCGCAGGTGGGAGGCCCCTCCAGGGGCCGGCTGTGCCTTCTCACCGACTCTGCCTTTTCTCGGGCTGCGTCTGAGGCTTCCTCTTGACCACTCGTCTCCGGAAGCTTGGTCGTGCGGGCCCCGGTCTGCTCTCCTGGTTTGCTATTCTTGGATTGCGCTGAGCTTGTCGGACCCGGAGGGCTGTGGCCTCTGTCAGATGTGGGGGTTTGGCTGTCGTCTCTTCATCCGCTGGGCCCCTGACTCTGCCCATTTGCCTCAGGCCTTTTTCTCTCTGCTTTGCTGCTTGCCCCGTGCGGTGGCCTATGGGCCCGGGGCCTGTCTTCCGTAGTGACCAGCTCAGCCCCCGGGGCCCCTGCAGACACCGCTCCCGCTGGCTTTCCTGCACCTTCCCCGTCTCACCTCGTCACGTGTCCTCTGCCTTTTTGAACACGTGGCACGTGTCCCCGGTGCCGTCCCCACATCTCGTTTGTGAGGTTCCTTCCTGGTGGGGCCGCACATCCCTGCTTTTCCGCCTGTCTGGTTGTGGTTTTTCGGGGGTCAGACTCGGGGGTTACCTGTTGGGCGTGAGGTTGGTTGCACACCTTTGGGCGCGGTGGGCCTGTCCTGACAGGCCGTTAGGCACCTGAAACGCCAGACCCGGTCCAGCTGTTGTTTGAGGCGTTCTCGGGGCAGAGCAGAGCCGGTGTCCAGTGCAGGCCGCACCCTCCTGGGGGCTCTTGGACCCCTACCCCAGCCCGACCCCTAGGGGTCCCAGCTCCCCCAGGCCTGTCTTCCCTGCTCCCCCTGACGGCCCCGTGCCTGCCCGGTGTCTGCAGGGCCTCCTCTACTCACCGCCCTGCTTCCTCCTGTTCAGGACAGGAGAGCGGCGCCTCTGTGTCCGGAGGTTTAGATGCAATGTGGTGCTGCGGCCGCCGCCTACCCCATCGTGGGCTGTGCCGCCCGGCCTCCAGGCTCTCCCCGTGCCTGGCTCCACTCGGGTGTATGGTGACAGTGAGGCCCACGCTGTGGACCAGAAGTGCAGGCCAGGCTGGGCCCATGCCATCATCCCATGTTTGCAGGGAAGGTGAAGAAGGAGCTGGACCCTGATGACGGCCACCTGAACCTGGACGAGACAGCAAAGCTCCTGCAGGACCTGCACGAGGCACAGGCGGAGCGCGGGGGCTCCCGGCCGTCGTCCAACCTCAGCTCCCTGTCCAACGCCTCCGACAGGGACCAGCACCACCTGGGTGAGGGGCACTGGGAGGGTCCTGGAAAGCCGGGGCTCTTGTGGGTGCCGGGTGCAAGTCCGCAGGCAGGGCTCTGGCCCCTGGTCACAGCAGGTCACCACGGCTGCCCCGAGGTGCGGGTTTGAATGGAGTCAGCCTTGCACGGGTGCGGGCCCAGGTGCTGGCGGTCTGTGGGTCGTGTCCGGGGCCAAGGCTGTGGGCCCGGCGGCCTCTCGGAGCTGGGCGTCGGGAGCGTGGGTTTCTCTCTGCTGTTCCTACTTTCCGTCCTGGAGCAGCGTGTGGACAGGCGTGCTCCTCCAGGACCTTCTCTTGGGGAGAGCTCATGACCTTTCTTGGGCTGGGGACCCCATGGCTACTGAGTGAGGGCGGGCAGCTGTCCCAGGCCCCTGCAGGGGTGTCACAGCCCCGCCAGGGAGGGCAGCACACACTTGTGTCCTGACTCCGTGAGCAAGCTTGGTGCTGTGTCCCTGGGCCACTGTTTTAGTTCCCAGGTACGAATGTTCAGTTATTCTTGCACATAATAAATCTTGACGTTTTTGGGGTGAGGTGGATGATCAGCTGTAGGGATTTGGCTGAAACTGTTTGAATAAGGACCAGCATCTTTGGGCCTGTTACCCTTGTGAGAGGTGGCACACAGAGGAGCTTCCAGGTGACCCTGGGTCAGCTCCAGGGATGGGGACTGCAGGATCCTAGTGGACTCAGTGACCCTGGAGCTGCTAAGGGCTGGGACTTGTCTGCAGGGCCCCTGGCCAAGGAGCCCTCGTTCCTGCGGAAGCAGCAGCCGTGCTGTGTGGAGACTCAAGGCAGAGTGCCTCCTGTAGGGTGGCCATGGCCACCGCTGTGGAGAGATGCCCTCTGCCCCTCCCGGGAGCAGTGAGGGGTGGCCTGGACCCTGGGAGCCGTGGCTCCGTGGCTGAGACGCTCTGCTGGCCTGGGCTCTGGCAGCTGTGGTCCTGCAGACACACGGGCCACGAGGGCGTGTGGAGATCCTTGGGGTGAAGTGTCTGTCTTCCCACAATTGCAGGAAGCCCTTCTCGCCTCAGTGTCGGGGAGCAGCCAGAGGTGACCCACGACCCGTACGAATTTCTTCAGTCTCCAGAACCTGCGGCCTCCACGAAGAACTAGCCTTGTAGTGGTCACTGATAATTGTTTATTTTTAAGTTTTTATTTGCATGTACAGAGTTTTTGTCACGAGACAAAAAGAGTTTGGTTTTGTCCCCTTGGGCGTGCGGGAAGCAGCCCCGGGGAGGTGATGAGTGTCCCTGAGGTCCTGTCAGCCGCGCAGGGGTGCAGTGTTCCTGCAGAGAGCCGCGGAGGTCACTCATAAAGGGTGTGAGACCAGATTCGGAAAAGCTGGTGTGGTCTGTGTCCGAGCTCCTCAGGGTCGATGAGGTCCTCCTCTGGACGCACCGGTCCTGCCCCACGCCCTCCGTGAGCGGCCCTCAGGAAGTAGACGTGGGTGGTTCTGTCTCTGTCCCGTTGGGGGTCCTGCCTGTTCTTTGTCCTCCCATGTCCCCACATTTCTAAGGCAGGTCTCGAGGGTTATGCGGGAGGGAGGGTGGCCTCCCCTCCTAGCCTGGGACAGACGGGAGGTGGGGCAGCGCCCCCTGGTGGCCTTTTAACCCGCGTGTGGGGGAGGAGTGCGTCCTGTGGGAAGACGGGCCTGTCCTGCCGGGTACGACCAAGCGTCGAGTGTCTGTAACATGCTCTTTGTTCTGGATGTGTTTACTGGATGCCTGTTTGTATGTGCAGAATATACATACAGATCTTGATAAGAAGATTCACTGTGTGATCGCACGTGGTTATTCACAGCGTCGCTGGGTGTCCACTTGAGTGACTTGAGGGAAAACCTATCATGTAGGTTGGAGGTGCTCCTTCCTCCTGGTGCCTCCTGCCGTCTCTCGGCTTCTGGCCCAGTTCCTGGCATTGCAGTGATGTCCAGAGTGGCTCTGCCACCACCAGACTCAGAAGGCGGGGCCCCACGGTGCAGCCTTGTGGGCATGGGTCCTGGGGCCCCTTCGGAGCCCTGCTTCTCCCTGGCCCGCAGCCTGAGTTCTCCAGTCTGTGCTGGCGTGACTGGGGGGTAGGGCTGTGCTGGGCTGTGAGGCCCAGACTCCCCAGGGGGTGTGGGCTCCACCCTAAGGGCCACGTCAGACGGAGTGGACACGACCCCCACCCAAGCGTGGGAGAGGCTTCCGCCTCGACCCAAGCAAGCCGTGGGCACACCCTAGGGGTGTCGCAGCCATGAGGTGGGGCATCTTCCTAAGGACACCGGCAGGATCCCAGCTGACACCCACAGACACTCTGGGGATCAGGATGGCTATCCAGGTGGCTGGGGTGGAGGGGCCTCAGGGCCACACTGGCCAGGCGTTGGCTGCAGGCCAGCCCAGCAGGCCCTCAGGTGCCTCAGCCCAGGGGACTTGACTCGCCGAGGAGAGAAAACCGGAGGGCAGTGCTGGGAGGTGGAAACCACGCCTCACCGAGAACAGACCAGCAAGGGCGTGCGTGAGTGCCAGGCCTGTGCTCCACCTCCATCCACTGCTGCCCGCCTGCACCTAACCTGCGGTGAAGACCCCCACAGTGAAGAGTGTTTTTCTGGACCTCGGACGTGGCCGAGCAGGCTTGAGCGTGACTTACAACGAAAGGTGTGAGCAACCTGGACTCTGGGCCTGTTGCTCAGTCACTCTGAGAACGAGGTGGCAGGTGTGTGCTGGGGAGGGGAGGGCGCGCTGCAGCTCCCGGGAGCCGGTAGGTAGGTCTGATGCTCCCCGGACACACGTAGTGCAGGGAAAGGCTTGGTCGCCTCGGGTGGGGGGTCATGGCTTCGTGGATTTGCATGCTGAGCAGGCCCTGATTTTGTAGCTTCTAAAGTTATTTTCATGGAGCAAGGTCACCCCCGAAGGACAGTCATTTCTCAAAGGTGTGAGCAGCTGAGGCCACCGGGCGCCAGGTCAGCCGGGAGGCCCGCACCTTCTGCAGACCTGGTATATCCCTGGTGGCCTCCTTCAGAGTCGCGGGAGCTGCCCCGGGGCTGGTTGGACTTAGGGGGCACCTGGCGTTGAGGTCATCAGCCCCCTGCACGTGTCTGGAGAAGCGTGTTCTGTGCAGGAGGCAGACACACAGGTCTGCTGGGGTCGGAGCAGCGCCTGGCGGGGAGCTGCCCTTTCTGCGGGTGCCTGTGTTTGCAGTTACCAGAGAGCCTGGTTCTGGTCTTGCCCACAGCCTGGGGCCTCTGCTGCACGGTCAGCTGGGTTTCTTGGGGCCTGGGACGTTTCTCAGGGCTGGATTGTGGGCAACACCGTGGACAACGACGAATTGGAGGCTGTCTGATACTGTCCTGGCTCCCACCTCCTGGGAAGGGGCTTCTGGGTGGGGAGCAGCGTGGCTGAGCTCTGCCCAGGCCTGCCCACAGGCAGGTGCTGCGAGCAGGCAGCCCTGATTCCTTGGGCCCCAGGCTGGTGGTGTCAGATGCATCTGGGCCCTCAGCTCCTCCTGCCCGCCCACGCCAGCCATGGCCTCCAGGGACGCGTCCCTGTCATCCTGATGGAGGCTTTCTCTGAGGACGGTGCTCTTGGGCCAAGGGCACGACTGTGGTCTGAGGAAATGGAGCCCCAGGTGAGCAGGAGGGTGAGACTGGGCGGGCTGGGTGGGGCAGGACTGACCTGGAGCGCCAGCCTGGTGGGCCTGGCTCCCCGCCAGCAGAGAGGCCCTGGGTCCCACCCACGGAGAAGCCCCTTCCCTCATGGTCCTCGACCCCACACAGAGGGTCTCGAAATCTGCTGGCTTCCTTCGCCTTGTGCCTCTGTCCGTCTGGGCCAGGCCGAGCTGCCCGTCGGGAGGCCGACCGCTGGCCGCCACAGGCACCAGGCAGCAGGGCTGCAGCACCACGTTTCAGGCGGCTTGGCCGGCCTTCTACCTCCGAGACGGCCCAGGCAGATGGGGCCTGTGGGGCACGCCTCTGTGGAGGGAGAGTGGACACGTCTCCATCCACCCTCCCTGTCCCCCTGAGGAAGGGGGGGCATCGATGATGAGCCCACATTCAGGTCCTCAGGCAGGAGCCCTCAGACCCCACAGGCAGGGGCCAGGGATCGCCTGAGCTTAGGAATTGAGACTCAGACGGGAGACACCTGACCCAGTGGGCTGGCCGTCCTGGCCTCAGCTGCCCGCTCAGCTCAGTGTCCACGTCCCCACGCTCCCCAGCTTGCCTTCTGCTGTTGCCCTTTCATGGCCACAGAGGGGGCAGCCAGGCAGCAGGCTTGGGCGGCACTGTCTGTGCCACACTCCCCGGGGTGACCCGGAGGCACCGCACCCCGGACAGAGCCTGGGTCTCAGCTCCTGGAGCAAAACCAGCTGATGGGGTCAAGCGTAAGGAGCAAAGTTGGGACAGACGCCTTGGCTGCCCTCCCCCCACCCCATGAGCCACTGAAACAGACTCCGGCTGCTAACTGAGGGCTGAAGTTAACTGAGGGACCGTGGCGGTGGTGGGGGTCTCTCCCCCAGGAACACTTGGGCCCATCCCCCCTCAACCGCCCCGCTCTGCCCCTGCAACTGACTGTGATGTGTCCCTAGGGGCGGGGCCTCAGCTTTATGATGCTTTCCTGGGTGTTGTCCAAGTGTCCACCGGGAGGCCCAGCCCTCTCACCTGGGCCTGGACTGCTCAAGCGTGGTTGTGCCTTTCCGCTCTGGAGAGGCCAGCCACATCGGGCATGTCTGCAGCACAGTTTCAGAAGCCACTGGGACCTATGCCCCGTGACAGGTAAGGAAGGGGTTGTGGTGTCGCCCAGCCCGGCACTTCGTCCTGGGAGGATGGGGACAGGGTGGGACGGGGCCATGTCGCACTGTGGACAGGAGACACAGGGACAACCTGCCCCTGGCTGGCCGGCACCATGGCTGGCTCACAGGGCCTGTGGGGAGCCTGTGGACCCCAGCCGTGGCCGTGTGGGGCACATGGAGGTGACAATGACCTCAAGCATCACCCCAGCACCAAACAGCCCAGAGCCCCAGGGTCGACAGGAAACGAGTCAGGAACCAAACTGGGGCAAAGAGGGGACCCAGGCACCAGCACGCCCCAGACGGGGCTCATCCCCGAGCCCAACGTGGTGGTCTTCCCACAGCCCGGGCAGACGCGTCCCGGAGGAAGTGACACCAGGACAGGGCACCAGAGGGCGGAGGAGGAGGCTGATGGGGGACCTAAGCATCCATGCCCAGAAAATAGTTCCAAAAAGGTGGAGAAGTGAGAACTGGGCCCAGAAGCCTCAGAGTGTGTGTGTGTAGTGTGTGTGGATGTGTGTGGATGTGTGTGGGACGTGCGTGTTGTGTGTGTGGTTGTGGGTGTGTGGGCGTGTGAGGTGTGTGATGTGGCATGTGTGGTGTGTGTGTGTGTGTTCACAGGCAGCAGCTATGTGCACCTGCGTCTCAGGCCGGGTTGGGAAGGGAGCTTCTCCCTGCTGGCCCTGACCAGTTGTGTGTGGCAGTTGCGGGACTCCTGACCACCTGCTGTAGCTCACTGAGGCCCTTCTGCCAGGTGGGCCCACCTGCCACAGCCTGGGTCCTCACCAAGGCACCCCCTCTCTCCTCCACCCTGCATCACCAGGATGCACCACTGTGTCCATCCCCAGGGATGCAGGTGGGGGACAGTCCATCTTGGGGTCAAGGCCTGGCCCCAAGTGAACATTGCACGATGTTGGATGGAGGGGTGGCTGGAGGTGCTGAGAGGTGAACAAGCCCTCACAAGCCCGGCGTGGCTCTGACCATGTCCTCTGGGGGGCCCTTGTCCACACAGGGAGACAGCGGGGGGGTGCTACTCAGGCCTGGTCACGTGCTCACTAGAGGGGGCGGTGGGACGAGGCAGTGCCAGCCTGCGCTGTAGGGAGAACCTTCTGTCTGCTCCCTCCCAGCTCCCAGGATTTGGAAGAACCCATGCTGGCCCAGATCTCCAGCACTGAGTCCAGCAAGGAGAGGCCTCCAGCTGTGGTCCACCAGGTCTGTGTCCACTGCATTTGGCTGGGGTCCTGTCGGGTCACTGCGGTGTGGGCCTGGCGAGGGGCTGGCAGACGAGGCCCAAGCAGGAGCGGTCAGCTCTGCTGGGTTTCCTGCAGACCCGCAGTCGTCTCTGAGCCCTCTGCTGTATCAGCACAATTTTCGCCTGATTTGATGGAGAAAATCTTTTCAGAAAATCTCTCAGAAAGGTTGAGTTGGTGCACCTGAGTCTCCACACCTCCCAAGCCTTTCCCGCCTGCTCCCTTGGGGACAGCCCGGCTGGTCCAGTTCAGGACTTAAGACGTTACGAAGCCCGAGGCCAGTCAGAGCCGGTGGTGGGCCATCCCACTCCTGGACGTCTGCAGGCCTTGCTTCCTCCAAGTTCACACTTTCACCACCGTGGGTGGATTTCTTTTGTTCATGGTCTAATTCTTGGTGTACAGCTTAGGTCCAAAACCTGAGGTCTCCTCGCAGGACAGACATTTCTTCAGTTTTTTCCTTTGTTTCTTCTCTTAGAACCTCTTCATTTCCTCATCCAGAAACCCTAACAGCTCAACGTCCACGTTGTGTTATGTTGTGTTGTGTCGTGTCCACGGCACTTGAGCTCACTCGGGCACTGCTCCCCCAGCTGTCTGCCCCGAGACACGTGCCGGCCCCTCAGCGCGACCTCCTGGATCCCCAGGGCTCACCTGGGCAGGACCTCCCCTGCCGGTGGTTTCTCCATCTGAGTGTTTCTGTTCGGGCTCATGTTTGAAGACCAAGCTGGCCCTCCTGAGCGCTAGTCCCCGGGTGCCTTGGTCTTGTTTCACGAATGTGAAGTCGCCCATCTCCCTGAGGCGCACGCGGCCGCGTCTCCACACAGTGTCACGTCCAGAGAACCAGGGTGGACAACCAACAGCAGGGGCTGGCCGCGCAAGCCCACTCTCGGGACGCTCCCCGGGGCAGTTCACAGCCCACAGAGGAGGCGGCGAAGCATACTTCTCAACATTCCTGTCTCCTCCCAAAGTAACACATTTTATCAACTCCTTTTTCTCTGTGTTTCATCCTGAAGAGACAATGAAGGCTGCGTACAGGCCCTAATGTGGCAAAGTTTTCTAAAACTCCTCCAAGTTCCACCTATGGCAGCTGGTAGCATCACGCACCCCCTCCGACACCCCAGACACCTCGCAGTCTCCCCGACTCCATGGTCCCCTTCTCGGCAGCCCTGCCCACCTGACTGGCCAGAAGTGCCATGGTCCCTCCCAGCTGCCACAGCCAGGGACTTCCAGGTGCCCGGAAGCCCCGTCCCTGCAGAAAGAAGAACACAGGACCCTGGAAATGTGGCCTCTCCGCTGGCTCCAGGGAAACGTGCAGGGCCCCTGGTGGACACGTGTCACGTCACCGCACCAGCGGGAGCTGGCTCTTCCTGCACAACTGCTGATGCCCTGGGAGAAGGGCCTCTTTCTGACGTGGACCTCCTGCACCTGAATGGTCTTCTGATGGGTCCTTGTGCACCTGTAAACCCTCCCTGACTCGCTGCTGTAGGTGGTCCCCTGCCTTGAGGGATGGTAGCTGCCCGCCTGGGGCTGGGGGGCACTGTCACCACAAGCCACCCCGGGAGATGCTAGGCGGTGGCTCCAGCCCCGGGGTCTCCCCGGCCACACGCACCATGGGCAGGAGCGCGTGGCCAGCCATGCTTCCCACTGTCTTGCAGATGCCCTTCTGTGCCAGGAGCTTGCGGCGGGTCATCCCGGAGGCCTCAGCCATCAGGGCATCGCAGACCTTGCCGCCCCGCCTGTCTAGGGTGAATGGCTGGTCGAGGCCCCTCCACTTCTTCCAGGCCATAGCCTGGGCCATGTTCCTGTTCCTGGCCTTCACCACCTTCGGCGTCTTCATCCCCTTCCTGCCACTCAACTGGAGATACATGGCCTACGGTGTATCCTTTCACGGCACCGCTGCCGTCTGAGGCGGGGGATGGTGCGGCCCTGCCCTCCAACCCACTCCCACTCTTGGCCGGCACCCCCAGTGTCATGGTGCCTGAGATCCCCTCTCCGTCCTCCGTCTGCCTGCTGGCTAGGGGTTCTGGCCACAGGTCAGAGGTTCACGGGGGCGCCTTCCGGCAGGGGTGCAAGGGAGGGTCCGCAGACCCGGCCACGTGCTTTCCCACCATGACGAAGCGGTCGGTTCGTGTCATCCAAGAGGAATGGTGAGTTTCCCCGAGGAGGGACTTGAAGCGTGTGTGCGCCCACCGCCCTCCACCAGGCACCTGAGTCCCGCTTCCCCACAGACCGTCTGCCAAGGTCACACGTTTGTGACCCCCTCCCATGGCAGAGCTCTGGGCGCCGAGATGTCTGCTTGGATCCCTCAGGGTGGGCATCAGGGTAGCGAGAGACTCGACCAGGAAACCTGGGCCCACTCAGAGGGGGCCACACCTTAGCACCAGTGGACGAGCTGTGCTGCTGCCAACTGGGCACTGGAACCAGTTTCCAGAAGCAGGGTGTTTGTGCCCGCATCAGGCCCACCTCAGCAGGGAGACGGCCACACTGCCCGCTTCTTGCCTGGGAGACCTCACTGCTGGCCAAGGAGAGGGGCCCGGGGTGCAGAAGGGGGGCCGTGGGTGGGCGAGAGGGACAGGGAAGGACACGCGAGCCTGACCACGGCACCTTCCAGCTTCAAAAAAGCAGAGGAGAGAGGTGGACCCCAGGGGCCCGGCCCTCGGCCTCAGCGTGAAGACCCTGCCGCCCTGTGGCACGTCTCACACACACACTGTCCTAAAAGTCCCAAACATCAGGAACCTTCAGTGGGACTGCCGGTCTGTGTCTGGGACTTCTGTCTCCATACCACCAGCCTGTTATCCCACCTAGAAAGTCCCATGGGCTGCTCGCACGTATTCCTTAATATCAGACTGACTTGCCCCCGTCAAGGAGTCCACGCAGAGTGTGGGCCGCGCAGGCCGCCCGCGGCTCGGCTGGGCAGAGAAGACCGGCCTCCACGTGGAGTGCCTCTCACACTCCTGTGGCTGCTGCTGAGGCCACGGATCCTCAGTGGTAAGGTTGTCGAGGATCAATTTCCTTAACAGAGAAAAGGCCTCTCAGCTTTTCTGTTTCATCTTCTGTTTTGGCCAGCTGTGTTTTTTAAGAAATTTGAATATTTCATCTAAATTGTCAAATTCTTGGAGGAAAGCGAGTCGCTGGTTTCCAGCTGTCCTTTGGAGTCTGTAGGGGCCGTGGTGATGTCACCGTGGTGTGTGCTCTCTGTGCGTCAGGCCTCCTAGGGTTTGGCAGTTTCACTGATTATCTGAAGAATCAGCGTTTGAGCTGACCGACCTCCTCTGCCTGTTCTCTTTTTAAATTTTTCTGCTTTTACTTTTACTGTTTCCTTTCAAATTACCATAGATTTCATTTACTCTTTTACTACTTTCTCAAGGTGGAAGCTTAGGTCATTGATTTTAGGCCTTCTTTCTTTTTATTATACTTAAAGCTGTAAACTCCCGTCTGGGCACAGGCACACTCAGACCCACAGACACATAGATACGCACAAACAAACACACACGTGATGCGCAGCCACAGACCAGCCACACCGTGGACGCCCACACTGCCACGCACACGGCCGCAGGGACGGAGGCCTCCTCTCTCCTCCTTGACCATCCCATCTGGCCGAGACGATTCCGTCTCTGGGGCCAGCTGCCCTGACCAGGCCCCACTGTCTGTGCTGGGGTGCCCTTCTCTGGCCACTGGGGGGCACCAGCGTCATTTGGCGCCCATAGGGCCAGGCGTGGAGGTGACCGCCGGGCCCTGGGAAGGGCAGGGTCCCCGGGTCAAGGTGGTGGGACTTTAGTGGGCCGGGCCCAGCTGGTTGGCAGGGGAGCCTTGCCAGGGGTCCAGGAGAGTGTTCCAGGGGGAGACTAGTTACAAAGTGACCCTTTCCAGCCACTCGCCCCCATGTTCCCTCGTTCGGTCCTTCCTGCAACAGCAGCCTGTTTGCAGGTGGCAGCCGGGCCCGCGTGGGCCGGCCCTCTGCCATGGCCAGAGAACAAGCCTGCTGAGCTGGCAGGACCACAGCCCAGGCAAGGGTGGAGGCAGCGTGCCCTACATAGCCCTGCTCCCCTGGGCCCCGGGAGAAAGCCATTGTCCAGAGAGGCTCCTAATGCGCCAGGTCCCAGGGAGTTCCAAGCCAGGTGGGCAGGCGTCCAGTGCCCTGGACACACATGGGGGAAACGCAGGCCCTGCCCCTGCCCCTGCCCCACGCCCAGGTGACAGGTCTTTGTTTCAGTGATGAGCTGTGGGTCCCCACTGTGCAGACCCGCCCTGGCCTGAGGTCTGAGCCCTCGGCCCGGCCTCCCCCATTCCTGGGGCCCTGAAAATGTTGGACCCACAGGAGCCGAACAGCAGCACGACCGGTCCTGGGTGCCTCCAGCCTCCTGTCCACTTGGGCCGGGCAGCTTTCTGAAGCCACAGTCACAGCCCCATGTCACCCCACACGACTTGTGTCTTGTCACGGTGAGCTGAGCAGTCACTGTACGACCTCTCAGGCACCCTGCCTTGTAATCTAATGGCCCAAAACGTACTTCCTCGGGGTCGAGCCCAGGCTCCGGTCAGGGCTCAGGCCAGCACAGCATCCTGCCCCACAGTCTGGTGCCCCGGGAGGCCTCTCCTTGCGGGCGGGCGGTCCCTCCCCATGGTGGGAGCATGTGCAGGGGTCCTGTCCTCCCATCCTCCCATCCTCTGAAACTCCCGTAGATGGTAATTACGCCCGCAGCAGGGCAGCTTAAACCGAGAAACGTATTGTCTCTCAGTTCTGGGCCCAGAGGCCCGAGGTCGAAGCGTGCCAGGACCTGGACCCCCTCGGCTGTAGCTGCTGGTGCTCTGCACCCTCGCAGGCCGCCCTCTGCGTGTGTCTGCGTCCTGATGGTCTCTCCTTATAAGGACCCCTCCCCTGACGACCTCATCTTGATCATCTGCAGAGACCCCATTTTCAAGTAAAATCCTCACAGGCCTTGGGGGTCAGGACTTCAGCATTTCTGGGGACACAGTCCGGCCCCAGCAGTGGATGCTCGCGTGCTGGGCTGTGACCCACTGTCTGCACCTTCCTTGGACCATAGCTTAGCCGAGTGGCCTTGTGGTCTTGGTGGTGGCCCCTCTGTCTGCGAACAGTCACTCCGCGTTCTCACCAGCTCTCTGCCGATCTCGGAGCCGTCCCCGCCCACGGGGACTGGCACCTTCTCCTGACAGCACTGGCCCCTGGTGGCGCCCAGTCTGCGCGGCCCCTCCTGCCTGTCCCAAGTGGTGTGTGCGGGATGGCGTCCCTGCCTGTTCCAAGCTCAGACTACCTGGGGGGGCGTGTTTTCCAGTCCAGTTTCCTGCCTGGCACCCGCCACTGGCCCAGCGGTGTCCCTTAGGCCCTGGCAGCTGCACTGGGGTTGCCCTTCTCTGGCCACTGTGGGGCACCGGCGTCATTTGGTGCCCACAGGGCCAGGCGTGGAGGTGACTGCTGGGCCCTGGGAAAGGCAGGGTCCGTGGCCAGGGCAGCGGGACTTCAGGCAGCCCAGGGGAGCCAGGAAGGAGCAGCGCGGCTGCCCCCTGCGTGCGGGAGGGAGGGCCTGGGGCGTGGTGGGGACGCTCAGGTGGGGAGGGGGCGCCGCTGTGATGAGACGTGACTGGGGCAGCGGGAGCTCCGCCCGCCGGGCTCCCGCCCTCCCGCCGCAGGACCGGACGTGTGTCCTGGGCTGGCGCCCGGCGCTGTTTATTTACTGAACGCAGATAGTTGCTAGGGGACCTCAGGACCGCCCAGGGCCACTGCCTCGCGGTGGAAGTGAGACTGGGAACTCGGTTCTTTTTATTACTAACTTGAACCTAAGACTCTCCTGAGATAAAATCACAGCCAAAAGTGAAAGCGGGCAACTGAGGGTGTGGCTCGCACCCTGTGGCACTCTCTACCCGGGGGCCCTGACGGCCACTCGGTGCCTGGCCCATGGCAGGAGCGGCCAGGTCGTCTTGGGCAAATGCAGCCAATTGTCGCTCACCAACGCCTCTCCTGGGGTGACCTGGTGGGTCAGACGGGGGGCTGGTCTCCACTCACAGAGGTGGGTGTCACAGTGCCTGCAGGGGACACCCGATGTCCAGAGGCCGTGGCTGCTTCTCCCACAGTGTCCAGGCAGCACACTGCCCTGGGATCTCGGGGTCCCCCAGAAGCAGCGCCCTGAGAAACGCCTGCTCATGGCACCAGGAGGTGTCAGGGGCACAGGAAGCTGCCTGCTAGGTTCAGGTCAGGCACCCGGGCCCTCGGCCGTGAGGGCTACTGTCCCCACATGCTCTCCCTGGTGCTGGCCTCGTGTGGAGCCGAGTGTGGACGTGCAAGTGGAGTGCTTGGGCCACACTTCAGCCGCCCACCTGCTGCCCTCCTGTGCGTCCACCTCCGGCCCCTGTCTGCCAGCATCTGACGGGGACAGCTCCCCTCTAGCTTCCCAGAGGAAGGGGCTGCACCTGGGCTTCCTGCCGCATCTCCTTGTCCCAGCTGCCATCCGCGCTCCTGTTGCCCTGGTAACCACACAAATAGTGCTGCGCGTCAGAGGAAGCTCCGGGAGTGGGTTCAGGGGACCAGCATGCTGGGGTGGAGTTGGGGTCACCCGCTATGATAGTGCAGCCTAGCCACTGACCTCCTGCCCATGGCCCCGCCCCCTGGACAGGAGCACAGCTCAGTCTGCTCGTCAGCAGAGGCCCAGGCTGTACCCACAGCCCCTCCTGCAGGGTCCTGCAGCCACGGGAGGAGCCTCCGTGTCACCACATCCTTGGTGGCACTGAGGGATCCAGCCAGTCCTGTCCCCTGTGGGCTCCCCCGGGCCTGGCTGGTTGTCACCCATCTCTCCATCCCTCTTTACACATCCTGCTGGCTGTGTGACTGCCCACCCTTGGCCTGGGCACCAGCCTCCCTTCTGGCCCCTGGCCCCCAGCTCCCACTCGCCCTCATGGTGGTCTCTGTGTCCCCAGCCAGGCCCGGCCGGGCCCTGTCACTTCTGCACCCGCAGCTTTGGCCAAACCAGCTCCCCCTGAGTCTCGCTGTGCACTGTGGCTGTGTCCTACTGGCCTTGCCCAGGCAGCACCACGCCTGTGAACACAAGCCCTGAGCCCCTGGGCAGCTCTGCAAGGCTGAGCGTCGCAGGCGAGGCTGGCAGACTCTGGACCCAGGGAGGACACAGCCTAGGAAGGGCCGCCCTGCTCAGAGCCTGCACTGCCCGTGGGCCTCTGTACAGCCCCCTGGGGCCTGAGCCCACACAGCTTTGCACCCACTCCCCAATACAGAGGACACCTCGCAGGCGACGGGGGAGCATTTCCCCGCCACACCCAGGCCGCCCTCGCAGGAGCCGGGCCTGTAAACCCTGAACCCTCCTGGCTCAAAATTCATCCTGGGAAGCAGGGCAGGGCTGACAGCGAGGCCAGGCTGGCGCTTCCGCCCCTTCTGTTTGGTTTCCATGGGGACAGTGTGTTGGTCCCTGGAGAGGAGGTGGAGCGGGTGGGGTCTGAGGGCTTGATTTTACCCTGGGAGCCCTGGAGGGAGGGGGAGCTGGAGAGAGCCTGAGGGTCCTGGGGTGGGGGAGAGACAGAGACAGAGAGACAGAGACAGAAGCAGAGACAGAGCTCGCACCCACTTGCCACGAGGCTCACGGGTGGGAGTCTGCACCCTCCCTCCCTCTGTCCCTCCTCCTTTTCTTGATGACACATGTGGTCAGTGTGGCCCCTCTGCCCCAAGTATCCCCCCACCTCCGATGCCCATGGCACACGCTGGCCTCTCCCGCTGCCTCAGTGAAGTGCGGGCGAGCCACAGCCTCCAGGGTGCCCTGCTTTGTCCCTTGAGAGAGAAGGATTTGGGCTGGGTCTGCTGGCCGCAGAGGTGCAGGAGGGGTGTCCTCAGCCCCTGCCGCTGGCCAGGCTCCGGTGGCTCCCGGTGGCTGGGGGGCCCGACGCCGGGCCTCCCCACGCAGGCCCTGGTGGGGTGCTGACCAGGCCGAGTCTTTCCTTGACGCACCTTCCGCAGGTGACTGGTGGACTTTTCTTGTTCCACTTCTTGGTCCACGTGATTGCGGTTTCCATCGATCCGGCTGATACCAACGTCCGCATGAAAAAGAACTACGCAGAGCCTGTGCCGACCTTCGACCGGTCCAAATACCTGCATGTGATCCAGAACCGTTATTGCCATCTGTGCGAGGTCACCGTGTGAGTCCCGCGCAGGGCCCCCAGATCCAGGGCAGGAGAGCCCGCTGCCTTGGGTCTCTCAGATGAGCCCCTGCCCCCACCCAGGTCGCAGCCCGGGCTGGTCAGGGCCCGGGGACCTCGTGGGTGGTGGGAGGGATCTGACTGCAGCCTCAGCCTCAGCCCCGGGTGCCACATGGCAGGCGCACATGGGGAGGCATCGCCGCTGCGGGCAGATGGGGACTCCGGCATCCCCACCGCACAGCCTGCTGACAGGTTCCCCCCTAACGCTTCCTTCCAGGAGCGCAAAAGCCAAACACTGCAGCTCCTGCAACAAGTGTGTCGAGGGCTTCGACCACCACTGCAAGTGGCTAAACAACTGCGTAGGGACCAGGAATTACTGGTGAGGGCAGGGCCGGGCCCTCTCGTCCTCCCCAGAGGAGGAAGCCCAGGACGGCAGGGCTGGGGGGGAGCTCCGGCCTCACTCTGGCTGGGTCCCTCCTCCCCCAGGGTGGGCTTCCTTGCTGGCTGCTCACCTGGAGGTCTGGCTGCCCTCGGGGGACAGGGGAGGGGTGTGGCTCTGACCATGAAGAGGACCAGGTAGGCCAGGCTCCGAGGGGCCCCACAGGAGGTTCCGACAGGGGCTCCAAACACAGAGCAGGCGGAGCCAGGAAGCCTCGTGGACAGGGCGTGGGTCCCTGGGCAGAGTCAGCTGGATGGGCCAGGGCCAGGGCCTGGCCTACAGCAAGGGTCACCCAGGGGGACGAGAGGCCCCAGGTATCTTCCTTCTGAGCCGGTGGGGTGTGCACCTGCCCCTGGACAGCATTCACAGCTGAGCCCCCACGTAAAGACAGGAAAGAGTGAGGAACCAACTAGATTTCAGGTGAGCAAGAGACTTTGTTCAGCACTGAGGCACTCAGGGCGAGGGGCAGACAGACTGGAAGAAGGCGTCTTAGAGCTCCTTCTGGGTGCTGCTGCCCGGAGTTTACGTTTTCGATGAACAGACCATTCTCTGTGTCTTTGTGCAGGAGACGTGTTCGGGTCTAATAGCGAAGCCCAAGGCCCTTGCGGGTGTGTGGTCCCCAGGCACAAAGTGGCCCAGTTCCCGAGCGCTGAGGTCAGCACACCGGCTTCTGCGCCTGTGGGCCTGTGCCCTCCCCACAGGGTGGCCCGCACGCCCACCACGTGGCCACGTGCGGATTCTGTTCACCAGTCCCGGCTCCAGGCTGAGGGCCACAGGGCTCATCTGCCATGATTCCAGAGCTCGGTGGGCCCAGCGACTGGTGGCCAGGAGGGAGCCCCACAGGGGCTGGGCCGGGTTGAGCTGAACGCGGTCCTGCTTGGACGGTCACACTGTCTCTGAGCCTCAGTTTCCCTGCTGTGAACTGGGTGGTCACCCTCCTCCAGCCTCCTGTGGACTGAGTGAGAGGTCACGTGCAAACTGCGCGGCAGGCGGGGCCGCGCGGCTCAAGGGTCGGGGGGGTCACCTCTAGAGCTGAAGAGAAAAGCCTAGAGGAAAGAGTGAGGGGAGGAAGATCTGAGGGTCAGGCGTGGGCTTGGTGGGGCCGCCGGCCGCATCCATGCGCATGCCAGCTGGCCGTCTCCCGGCGCTGAGCCCGGCTCTGCCTCTCCTGCAGGTTCTTCTTCAGCTCCGTGGCCTCGGCCTTCGTGGGCATGCTCTGTGTAGCGGGCATCTTGCTGTACATCTTCATCCAGTACGTAGTCAACCCGGTGGAGCTGCGCGCGGACCAACACTACCGAAGTACGTGCTCCTGTAGCCCCGCCACCTTCCCAGTGAAATCTTCCTCCCAGGGGAGGTCAGCCTGGCTTGCCCCAGGCTGGGTGAGTAGGTGGGGTGGGCACTGCAGCCTGGTGCCCCCACCCCGGCCAAGGGCAGCAGGCCAGGATCCACCCTCCAGCCCAGCAGGTTCCCAAGCCCCCAGGGGGCAAGTTTGGGACCCAAGGACACTGGTGTGGTGGCTCCAGGCTGTGCTTCCAGTAGCATCAGGCACCCAGAGTGGGGTCTGCACCCCATGACCGCCATGGAGGGAGGCGGGGCCTGCAAGCTCTGAGAAGCTCAATGCAGCTCCCAGCCCTGTGTGACGGGCCACCCGCCCTGAGCCGGCCGTCACCTGGGCGGGGAGGCACTCCCTAGGCTGGCATTCCCTCCCCCACTGCCAAGTTCTGTCGCAGGTGCCACCTGGGGAGTGGGGCTGTGGGTCAGCAGGTGCTGGAGGCGCGACCACCCTGTGTCCCCATCAGGCATCTCCAACGAGCACACGTGGGTGCTGTTCCTCCCACTGTTCCCGACAAGGACGAAGACGCCAGTGGTGCTGACCTTAGGGGCGTCCGTGCTGCTGCTGAACGCTGCCAACCTCCTGCTGCTGGGGCATCTGCTCTTCTTCCACCTCTACCTGAGTACGCGCCCCCGTGCGCCCACCCCTACAGGCCTTTCCCGTCGTGCTCACGCGTGTCCCGGGGCAGGCAGTCCCTCGGTCAGTCTCCACCAGAAGCCAGCTCAAAGCACAAAGGACAAATTACAGGAAGAGGAGAGACCCCGAGAGGGGCAGCAGGGCTAACCTGGTCCGAGGAGACCTGAAAGGTGGTCGAGCGAGATGTTATCCACTAACCGAGCTGCTGAGGGGAGGGCAGTTTCCTAGCATCCCTGCGGCGCTGCGTGTGGCAGGACCTCCCCCCGCCCTGGGAAGCGGTCCCTGGAAGAGAGGCTCGCAGGAGAGGGGCGGGGGCCCACTGTGACCGTGGGAGCCGGGCCGGCCGCACGCCCCCGGCTGAGCCAGAGAAGGGCACAGCACCAGCACTGGGCGCCCCAGGCTGCAGGCCAGGCTCTCCTCACTGCGCAGCTGGCAGGGGCGATAGGCAGTTTGCGGACAGAATCCCCGAGCACCAGAGGCTGGGGCAGCCACTGGGGACGACATGGGGAGTCGGCAAGGATGAGAGGGGAGCCCGGAGAACCAAATCCTCCGGACTCAGTGCCGCTGGAGATGGAGGGACAGGAACCTCCAAGAGGGCAGGTGTGCGCCCTCACTGATTGAGGGGCCCAGGAGGCCCTCCGGACGGGATACACTGTGTTCAGGACTGAAGGGGCGATTTTAGGGTCTTTGAACATCAAAGAGTAGATTTGCAGGAGAAAGTCGGGCTGTTAGTTATGGTCAGTTATAGTTAAATTACCCTAAAAGGCAGCTCCTTTAAAACACGCATCCATGACCCTCAGTTTCTGTGGTCTGGAGTCCAGCAGAGCTTAGCTGTCCCCCAGCCCTGGGTCTGACCCGAGGCCTCGGTCAGGATGACCCTTCCTGCTCACCCCTGGCTGCTGGCCAGGCTAGCTCCCCAGGAGCTGTTGGCCAGTGGCCTCCCTTGTCCTGTGTGTGGACACCCCACGCCGGAGTGGCTCAGGCCAGGGCACGGCGAGAAAAGAGCACGGCGGGGCCAGGACCACGTGGATGGGAGCACCCCGAGGCAGGGCTGCTGAGACAGCAGTGGGGTCAGACTGTGACGCTTGGCAAGGGACGTTGTGACAAGTCCTCAGCACTGAGTGTGCGTGAGACCCTTGGTGAGGACGCAGAGAGAGCTGGCGATGGTCGGAGGAAACCCCGAATCACGGGACGAACAGGAGAGAAAACGCCTTGAAGGGTGTGGGGGGAGTCAGGGACCCCCAGCTGCCAGCTGCCTGGGCACCTGCCACCTGGGAAGACCAGGCGACTTTCACTCAGTGTCCCCGGCCCGTGGGGTGCTGAGTTCTGTGTCCGCAAATCATTTCTGACTCCCATCGGGTTACGAAGTGTTACAGGAAACTCGCTCGGAAGAGGGTGAGCTCTGGGCGTGCTGACACATGATTCTGATGGCATTTGTGCAAACTTGGGCAAAAGAGTGAACAAATGTCCACTCGTCACTGGAATATAAACAAGTGTGAGTTTACATCCTCAAACAGGGACTGACAGGGACGGAAGACTGGGGCGGGGGAGGCATCAAGAGAGAGGGAGTCAAGGCCAAAACAAAACCAAAACCAAAAACCAAAACAGAACAAACGACCGTTTACGTACGGGAAACGGCCCCGGGGGGGAACGGGGGGGGCGGG